AAAATAAACTATTTCAATATTTTCAAATTAGAAAAGAAAGCTATTCCTTTAAACTACTTCAGTCATACTATAAGAATCTTTAATATTAGCATTTTCAGTATTCTTAGCCACAGTTTTTACAGTATCTTTAGTCACTGCATTTTCAGTCTCTTCAGAAGTATCTTCTGATTTATCTATAGTAGAATCAGGTTCAGCTTTAGGTTGTGGTTTGGGAAATTCAAATTCTCTTCCTTGACCTTTTGCCAAAATAAACATTACAAACAATCTAACTCCAAATGCCAAAAATGTAAACACAATTGAACCAATTGGTGCAACAATAAATGCTCCTAATACCGAATAATCATCTGTGTAAAGGCCATTCGATAAGATGAGTAATTGTGCTCCTTCATATGCACTATTAAAATACGCTGTACCAAATATAAATATTGAAAAGAACCCTCCTATACCACCTACTAATGAGTCAACTCCATTCAGAAAATAAAGTGACTCTACAAGACCAAGAAGGATTGAGGGCATTATAGAAGCTGCTATAAGATCACCAATTAAGAATACAACAAGAACATCAAGATTTCTGGAACCAAGAATTACTATATAAAAAAAAATCAAATTAACAAATCAGATTATTTTAATTAATAATTCATAACATCATACGTGACTGATTATAGTAATTGTAAAAAAAAGTTTCATACAAACCAGCAGGAATGTTGAAAAGTAAAGTCAGGCATCGAATAATCATTAAAGAAAGTTTATTGTCAAATAGATCGTTTGACATAGTAGATACCATAGCACTTTGTAAAGTATCATAAGCCGAACAACTTAAACTAACAGCCAATACTATAACAAATCCTTTAACCCAATCTGGTAATAATGTATAAAGTGAAAAGAATGACATGAAAGGTTCTACAGGATTTTCAGGATCAGGCCCTGGCCAAGTACCAGCCCAAGCTGCAATAATTCCAGTAAAACCAATTAAAAATAATGTGGGAAAAAGTAAAAGACTTCCATAAATTGCTGAGTGAACTAATACACGATCATTTTTAGAAGAAAAAGCTCGTTGCCAATAACCCTATAAATAATAAAAAAAAGTTAAAAAAAGTTAAAAATTAATTTCATATTATTATCATATTATTATTTTATATTATTATCATATTATTATTTTATATTATTATTTTATGAGAAAATAAAATACCTGATGGAATAAGTTAGCAAAAGTAATAGCAACAGGCATAATATATAATAATTGCCATCCCAATTTATTTGATTGTAATAGTGGACTAGAGTTAACTACTTCTGGATCAAGTTTCACTGTAGCACCAAATCCTATTGCCGAAATTATTAAAAGGATAGCAATAGCCCAACCTTGTACTTTATCAGTTAATAACGAGGAACGAAAACCACCGTATGCTATTTTTTTTTAAAAAAATCAATTTAAATTTAAACAAATAGTTTTAAATAATAATATTTTAATTTAAATATCATAAATTTACCAGTATAAAGAGTAGTCGTAATAGTAATAAGAATTATAGGAACATGAAAAAAATCATATCCCGTCAAGAGAGTCAATATACCATCAATAGCTGATAATTCACTGACCATATAACAAAACATATATGCCATAGACATCAATGAAACATAGATTTGATTAATTCTACCAAATCTTTCGGAAATAAATGATGTCAACAGAAATCCATCAGGGCATTTTTTTCTTAATATAGGTCCAAGCCAGGCAAATACCATAAGCGGAACAGTACTACCGAACGCGTACCAAAAGTTACCAAGGATACCAGCTCGTACTCCGATTTCAGGATAAGCGTATAGGACAGATGATCCAAGGTCTATAAATTAATAAATTCCTCTAATAAATCATTTTAATCCCTAATAAATAGCTTCAACGCGTGTTTTTCGAAATATCATCATCACGTGTTGATGCCTAAAATAATTGTAATAATACAAGTCGCTCTCGTTATACTATATCGAGAGTCTATTAATAAATTCACTATATAGAGAGGGTTTTTATCTAAGATATTCTTCATTATAACAAGAGGTTCATTATAACGAAAGGTCACTATAACGAGAGTGACTTGTAACAACAACAACAATAATAATAATAATAATAATAGATTTTTTAGAGATTGTATCCGAATAAAACATTTTTATTACATGTCAAACCCCTCTATAATCACCTCCCCTATAGTCGCAAAATTAATATAATTACAATTTTACCAATTATTTATAACTATATAGTCTATATTAGTCACACCTCTTTATAATCACAGGTGTGACTATAGAGGGGTTTGACTGTACTGTACTGTATAAATTACCCGGATAACCGAATAATTTAGTAATACTCGAATATAAATTTTTTTTGATGGGTACAATCTCTAATATTTTGATGAAGTGGCAGCTTCCCTACGCAGGCATTACCCTGATCAGGTTATAACGGTGCTATCTCAGCCCCACAGTCAACTTCATACCAGAAGAAAATATTCGTCAATTTATATTGACAAAGAAAATCTACATGGTAATCCATTAATAGTTGAGCACCCGTAGTGCCGATTCAAAATATAAACATTTTCAATTTTCTGACAAGTCAGAACTGCCAGACATTATGCAATGTTCTATAAGACTGTTAGATGCTATTAGATGCTATTAGATGCTATTAGATGTTATAAGATGGAAAAAATATTTTGTAAACATTTTGTGAATATCTTGTATATTACATAACATCTGGCAATTCTATAACATGCATTTTGGCACTTTAAAGAGGGATATGATAATAAGCACCTTACCTGTCCGTCAATGGACAATACAAACCTAACTGCCGCTACATTCCAATTATCTGTTCATTGTAGTCTCTTCAACTCACTCGAAGCAAACCAATTTGCTGCCAAACTTAAAGCCGTTTGAGTTCCAATAGATGATAAAAAATCCGTCTTTGTTTTTGTATCTTTGTAACCGGCATATAAACCAATAAACATAAAAAACATCATAATAACGTATATAAGAACATTAGCGACAGCGAAAGAGATAGCCATGTTTTTGTAAAGAAAAATAAAAAAAGACAAAAAATTAATTATTCTGAAATTTTAGAAACGGCTTAAATGTGATAATGTTATTTTTTTTCAAATTTATATAATTAAATCTGTTGATCTACGGGAAAAAGTTTTCATAGAATTAATTATGCATTAAACCTGAAAAAAAAAGCCATAATAATTAGTCAGCTACGTAACAATAATTACGGCCCCCTTGTATACCAGTAAATATATTATTTGTTTATAGATGCACTTTTTTGAAGTATTACGATCAAAGCTTAATCAAATTACAAATTACTTAACCTAATTCAAATTAGTAATATGTAATAAAACGTGCCAAGCTACTTTACCAGTTCTGAATTTTGTTTTACGACACTTATCAATATTTGACTAACGTTATGTACGTAGTAGATTGTAACTCTTAAAATGGTTTGAGCAGCAAATATGTAATCTATCCTTATTAGTTTAAATTATTTTCTCTGTTATGATTAGTCTTATACATGTTACGTATTAGAAAAGCAATATTTGATGGTTTGTTCCTATATACTACGTATACATACTAATTATTACATAAACATAGAGATTAAACACTTAATTTGTTACGTATAATTTTTTTTTTTAGGAACTGATTATTTCAACACACATTTTTGGTACGTATTTCCACTATTTTGGGTTACATGTGTATTTTTTTTTGATCGAGTTTTTTACATTTATATATGTTGTATTCAAGATAAGAATCCGCCAGATTCATAATCCAGCTGTCCTAATTCAGAACGGGATACCCGCCTTAATATACTAATCTACTAACCCTAACCTAACCTTACTAATTACGAAGTTGGGTACCTCATTTGGGAATTTTAAACCCGGCCATCCCGACTCTGAATCAGTACAACCGGATTCTGAATCGGGTGGATTCTTATCTGAGGTACTACACATATTCGTGATCCTGCACAACTCTTACCTAAGATATAAGTTGTACTACGTATCTGCTATGCCGATGAGAAAGATATGTATCAGTGATTACGTATTAATTTTCTTGGTAAAGGTTACCGGTAAGAAAACTTCCGTATAAACATAACTTTAATGCTCTTAAATTCAAAAAATCCAGATTGGAAAGCAATACTTGGCCTATATAATAACCATATCTAACATCATCAAAGAAATACAAGAAATGACAATAAGGCTAGTGTAGTAAATTTTTTTTATATTTTAATTCTATAGCTTAGTATTATTAAAATAAAAAAATGTAAATCAAATTATGCTTAGTAGTTAATGACTAAAGTTTATAAAAAAACTTCAAATATCAAATTGCTAAATCAAGTAAATTTTTTGATTTGAACTTTAAACAAAGATATTCATCAACCTGCTATTCGAATTTGATGAATTTTTTTATTTTAATTCTGTGAATTCATAGAATTAAACCAAAAAAAAAGTTTCATCAAATTTGAGTAGCTGGTTATCAAGAAAAATTCATTAAATTTTAAAACAATTTTGATTATCTAAACTTTAAACAAAGATTACTTAGCACTTATCTGATCAAATTTTTGATTAAAATTTTTTTATTTAATTCTATAAGCATATAGAATTAAAATAAAAAATTTTATCAAATTTGATTAAGTAAGTGTTAAGTAATCTTTGTTCAAAGTTTAAGTATTTATAAAAAAAGTTGAACCCAAATTTTTTTTAAATTTTTAATAAATATTTCTTGATAACCAACTATCTAAATATCTATAAAACTAAAAATATCAAATTTTTATCAAATTTAAATAGCTGGGTATTAAGAAATTTTTGTTTAAAAAATTTAAAAATTTTAAAACAAGTAGTATTGTAACTAATTTTTTTATTTAATATTTAAATAAAAAGTTTTTGACAACCAACTATCTAAATTTGATAAATATTTTTTTGGTTTAATTCTATAAATTTATAAAATTAAAATAACAAAATTTTTTTAAATTTGAATAGCTGGTTATTAAAAAATATTTATTAAAAGTTAAAAAAATTTGGCTACAGCTCTTTTCACAAATTTTTTTTTTTACCTTTGTAATGTTGTGGAAGGACAAATTTTTATTAGGTACATTAGTAGTATATTCTTGGTTAATGAGAGTACATGCTAGCCATATCTGTGCTTTTTGAGTGCTTAATTAAGTAGCTACCTATTACTAGGGTCTACACTAGATGCTATACTTATAACCTACTATTACTTAAGCTATCTAATTAAACTCTCTAATGTTCTTTGTTCTGCACCACCACCTCAATTACGCCAACCCATAACCTCATGCTGCTTCATTGAAGACCACCCAGATTAATATATACTATACTACTTTGCATCCTAATTTTATAGATAACCCAGTAAAGTTCTTATACTTACCAGGTTACTCTAGGAAGTGTGTAGTATATACCTCTCTAATCTTTTTATGTCTCACACATTTCCAGACTAGGCCTTTTCAGTAACTTATGCTGAGTCTAAGGACAAGTATTTGCAAGCTGAGACTGCTACAATTACTTACTACTGCTCTTGTAGAATTCACCCAAACCCCGTTACCTACTTTACAGATTCCCTCTCATATCTCCGGAAACCCAAACTTCTAATCTGATAGTTTGGAAGGGCAGAACCCTTCCTCCAGTTATCTGACGGCCTGGTTGATATAGTGCCTTGCCAAACACCTCGGTCCTGTTCAGTTTTTCAGTATCCAGTTGATTATCTTTTACATAGTAACCGTCAAAAATCTGTGCTACTTCTCTACTCAGGTTTTGTCAAAGAGACTCTCATATTCTGTAAATTCGCTAGATTTATCTGGTAGCTTCATTTGAATTTTGTGTAACTTATATATTACACTATATATTCCACTACCTCCCAGTACAAGCTGGTACAACTATCATTATAGGTTCTATAACCCAATAGAATACAGTCTTCCAAATGCATTTTCTATAAATTCGAAAT